ACCACGCGTCCTCGAGAGGACACGTGGAGCCACAGGCCCGATCACCGATGGCCAATTGATCCTTCCTACGTTAGGTCTTGTTACCCCTGTCCAAAGGGTACACACATAGGATAGATCAGATCCCTCCAGATCAGATCCCTCCAGGTCGAGCTAGCTCTTTTTCGGGTCATATGTCCCTTGCGATCGGTAGGACATCGGTGATCTGAGCGTGTTTATTCCGAGGTGATCTATGGGACATCGGTGAGCTAGCTCATGATCTATGTTATGTCTGATCCGAGCAGCATCAGGGAGCCTACTGAATTTACAGGCATATGCGGACAACGAGCAGCATCAGCTAGCCTACCGAATTCACACACAAGTACAGACACACGTCCATCTTTTACCGCAGTTCTTCGCTTCTGAACCATCCTCCCGTGTAGGCTCTCCACGCGGAGCCCCAGCGCCTTGACGGACGGCAGCTGGGACAGAGTCTTGCTGAAGAAGTCCACGCCGGCGCACGTCGAGAGGAAAACGATAGTCTTCTCTCCTTCCGGACGGGCCTTCAAAAAAAAAAAAAAGCGGAACAGCATGTGTTGTTATTTTTCGTGTGGAACGAAAGTGAGCGGGGAAAACGGGCGGGCATGTGTGTGTGTGCAATCATTGTTAGGATCGACCGCGCTCACGGGCCGACAAACAACGAAAAGACGTCAGTCTCAGTGTTGCGGATGAAAATGCTCATAGGGAATGATCTGGAACCCCGCGAGGGGGCGTCATGGCGGAGGCTGAGCGCGGTTAAAGACAGAAACTGTAGTAACAGAAAACCGTACGAGATACTTACCGCCAGCAGCAGCCCATCTAAAAAACAAAACACACGCCTTTTTGCCTCTTCACAGTCACCGTAGGGGGAGAGATGGGGCAGTAGTCTACGCAGTTTTTGTAAGTAAGCGAACATACTGGATAAAGAATAGAATCGGCTAAATTTGGGTTGGGGTTAGGGATAGGGTCTGTGTGCCCCCTGCCTGGTCTACTTTAGCAAAAAACTCAACCTTCTTTTGCGTAGGCAGTCCGCATTAAAACAAACAAAATATGAAAAAACTCCCGCTGCGTGACCATCCTGTTGTGTGATCCCGGCTGGTTTTACACCGAACGGCGTGCACGATGGCGCCACAATAGACGGGACGAACGCACACACCTTCAGGAAACCCACAAGCTGCGCTAGCTTTTCCTCCGGCTCGCACACGATGTAGAAGTTTTCCAGCGAAGAAGGCGTCGCCTGAGTTTTCTGGCCGGGGACCCCTCCCGCCCCTGCCCCTCCCGACTTCGATCTTACCGCTACAGAAACGGTTGCCGGGTTTCGGAGACCCGCCCGGGCTAAGGCCTTCGTCTCTCTGCAAGAGGAGATCGGAATGGAAGGGAAGGGGGGATACGTGAAATCACGTCAAGAGTCCCTTTTCGGTTCTTGGTATGAGCCCCGCCCCCCCACCCTCTGGGTATCTTCGTCCAACCTCGAGTGCGATAGTTGATACCTATACCGACATCGACACGACGCATCAACAACAACGACGATAACGGCACGACATCAACAACAACGACAACAGCAACAACAACAACCACAACCACAACAACGACGACAACCACACCTCAACCACCACCACCACCAATAAGACGACAACAACACCAGCAACGACAACTACACTACCACCAACAGCAGCAGCAACACCACCACCACCAACAACAGCTACAGCAACAACATCGTACCGCGTCTGTGTGGCGGAGAAGAGGCCGGTCCTGCGCTGCTTGGGCAGCAGGGAAAAGATGGAGTTGAGGGTACCGGCGAAGCCCATGTCGAGGAGAGTGTCGGCCTCGTCCAGAACAAGAGCTTCCAGTTCTGATTCGTGCGGGAAAATGCGGGAAAATGCGGTAAGATTGATACACACGGAGCGGGAGATAGGAAAAGGGTGTCGGCCTCATCCACAGAACGAGTGCTCCCAGCTCTGATTCGTGCGGGAAAATGCGGGAAAATGCGGGCAAATGCGGCAAGATCAAACACATGGGGCGGAAATTAGGACAAGGGTGTCGGCCTCGTGCGCTTCCAGCTCTGATTCGTGCGGACAAATGCGGCAAGATTGATACGCATGGAGCGGGAAATTAGGAAAAGGGTGTCGGCCTCATCTATATAACGAGGGCTCCCAGTTTTGATTCGTGCAGGCAAATGTGGGCAAATGCGGCAAGATTGATACACATGGAGCGGGAAATTCGGACAAGGGTGTCGGCCTCGTGCGCTGCCAGCTCTGATTCGTGCGGGAAAATGCGGCAAGATAACACACGTGGAGCGGGCAATTAGGACAAGGGTGGTGGTGAAGTGACACCTAGATTAACCTTGCGTGTGACTGTGCGATCAAGATACCCCGGGATCGGATAGCGAGGTTCAGCAAGCAGCAAGGCAGGCAAGGGGGTACGCTAGTGAACACGCCAAAGAGGATTGACTCAGGGTAGGGCCAACCGGTTGTGGCTGTGGGCTTAAAGCCCGAGACCGCAGCAGTAGTACCCAGGGGTCCCGAAGATACTCTTCCTCTTTCATGTTCCTTCACGTGTGAGCTCGTGGTGAGAACAGCGTTGCACCGTTGGAGCTGCGACATATCCCAACGAAGCACACATTATCAACGAAAGCAAGAACATCGACCGAGAGCTGCAGAGAAGCAAAATCTTGCGACCGGCGCGAACACTCCACAGCAGGCGAAACACAACGCGTAATCATCATATTTGTAAGGATGCACAAGTGGTCCCTCCAGAGTGGGCTTATGAGAGCACAGCAGTGTCCCAAAGAGGTGATGCACGCTGAAAACACAGCACGACAAACCCCAGCTGACTGCCAGCCGCCGTGTGACGTTTCCCAAGCTCGCACAGCGGACGCGGTTTCGACTCGAACAGCCCAGCGAACCTCAACGAATAATGCACAAAAGCTCTTTACAGTCTTACAATACCGCACCGCGAGTGTCGAAGACGTTGTAGTTGTTGAGCATGTCCTCGACTCGGCCGGGCGTCCCCACCAAGATGCTAGCCCCGCCCTTCCGGAAGGCTGCCAAGCATTCCTCCACGCTCGTGCCGCCAACGAGAAGCAGCGGTTTCGCCTCGTCCAACGCCTCCGAAAACTTGGAGACCACCCCGAAAATCTGGTTCGCGAGCTCCCTAAAAAGAAGATCAGATGTGGTAGGTGTGTGTGTATGGTGTCTGTCAAGGCATGTCTGGTGTGTGTATGGTTACCCAATTCTGCGTGTACCGTAAGGTTGTGAGTCAGCGCACAGGGGTGCGAA